ATATATACACATACATGTATAGAATACACGATGTAAGTAGTGCATGTTTTTTATATAGAATACAAATATCTATTTTAAAAATAACGAGTAATTGGACATTACATTTTTAAATAAGTAACGTTTTGGGTAACGATATTATTATTTTTAGCAGGTAACGGCTAAAGTAATATCCTTACCTTTTCTAGTAACATGACCAACACTGCGTAAATTTTTTAAATTTTCAAACCTCACAAGCTATTGCTACAGTAATCAATAATAAAAATACTGTTAATATCAGGGGGTATCAAAATGATGAGTCACACATTTTAATCATTATAGGTTTAAGTTTTACTGAGTGTTCATTCATGACATTACATACTTCTAGTCAGAATTTGATTGTTTGGGATCAGAAAAAATTACTAATAATAGTTAGCCAAATAAATTAAAAAAAAACTGAAAGGCTTATTATTTTGTGGCTGACAGTTATACCTCAACCCTCTCCTAATTGCAGAATAAAATGCATTTGCAATAATTATTTAAAAACTTACTATAACATTACATCTTCAATTAAAAATTTATAATCAAACAGTAAAGAAACCTTTTCATCAATAAAGTAGCTGAAATACTAAAAAGACTTACTGTAGTAATATTTAACATGGCATAAGTATCCCTTGTAGATATAGTAACAGCATGAAATGAGTTTTAATAGTAACACCTTGTTCCAGTAACACTAAAATTGCTTACACTGATGAAATATGTTAACAGTAAATGATAAACTTGATAATATGAACATAGCCTACTGAAAAATATTGACTGATAATCCTTTGATATTAGAGGATGTTAGCAGTAAACAATAAACCTTACAAGATGAACACAGTTTCAGTTTTTAGTTGTCTTTGGGAATTTAGAAATATCTTACATGTCTATTATAAATGTCATGTTTCTACAACATATCAATGATTAATAATGGCTGGAGATGGCTTGAATGGGTAATGAAGAAAAACTTTAATATAAGTCTAATATAATAGCAAATGTACCATATCAATAATTACCTTTGAAATACTTATCACATTCTGGTAAATTGGTATAGATAAGTATTATATAAATAAAATAAACTTACAACTTTCATTATTGTCAGAAAACTTTGCTTCCAAACTGTCTATGTACTTGTCTTGTTTCATCCATCTAAAAATCATAAACATCAAAGAGATTAGTTAAGTAATACAAAAACAGTACTACATCGTAATGAAATCTCGAATGGTGTGGGTGAATTTAGTTAAACATCAGGTCACATACTAGAAGATGTGTGTTACAAACTGTGAAACTTCAACAACACTTAAGTGAACAGAACAACAGAAGGATACAAGGTCTGAAAAACCAGGCTACTTTTCCACATCTTACAAATAAAATGAAGCTGAATTCCAAAGTCCATGCAGAAAGAATAGTCTAATTAGAAAATTACTTATGCCATACTTCAAAGAGCTTAGCAAGTGAATGTTTTTTAACAAAACACTAGGTTAATATATAAAAATAAGGAATTGTGTCTTATGACTATCAAATTCCTTCTACAAAAAAAACAAAAAACAACAACAACAAATGAAGAAAGGATTATGTTTACTACAAAATGGTTACATAATCATCATTAAGAATCCCCAGGAAAGAATGTGTTGAGAAACTTTACAACAAAATGGTTATATAATCATCCTCAAAATAAGCAAGCTATACAAATTAAAGATTCAACAACAACAAAATCCTCTGGCAGCATTTTAAATAATCTTGTTTCTGGCTCAAACTTTATTAAATGTCAGTGCATTCAAATTAATACTATCTGGAATTCTTAACTTTGTTGAATGTAAACTGGAGTTAATTACCAGATATCAGGATGATAAAATAAACAACCACAACCTATATCTCCAGAATGTACCTTTATTAGCTCAATATTTTGCTATTACAACTTCAACAGGAGCTATCAGTAATCCACAAGTACATTAATTCAGTTGAAACTAAACTGAAACACCATTCTCAGTACAAAAGGTTCATATCATATTAAAAATAATATCAAACATTCTTGAACAAAAATGTTTAAACAAACTGAACCAATAATGATAAGTAAAAAATATATGTAAATCAATATGTGAACTATTAGAATCATGAGATTTAGAATAGTATATGTTATGTAATGTATACATTTTCATACTTGTATCCTTACGTACATTCTTCTATCAAAACACACGGTAGTGTGTCATATGGCCAAAACCTGCAAGACACACTGCATGTTACTAACAGGAGTGATAGTTTAGCAATTTTCCACTTTCTGTAGCTCAGACTCTGATTATCCAAACTACCACATATTTTCCGTGAATGTGCTCTACTGGACCCTTACTTCACATACCAAATTTCAAGGCAATCCAATTAAGAAAAATTTTTTTATTGAATTCTTTCCTTCGCACCAAAAGTAAGGAAACTATTTGATAGAAAAAGATACTTAACTTCCATGGATTTTTTTCCAATTTGGTACATTGATAGACCTTTACAACCTACAATTAGTTGTCTAATTTGGTCTAAATATAAACAACATGTGCAGAGTTATTCAACAAAAACAGCTCAATTTTGACCAAAATATTTGCATGCAACTATGCAAAAATTCATGTGAGCTATCAGTCTAAAATTTTTACTAAAAAAAAGTAAAAATGGATTAAAGATGGCTGATTTATAGCAGCAAAAAACTATAGGGTGAGAGCACATACAGATACATAAGTATTGGTAAGGCCAAGCAAACTAGATCGTCAGTTTCTAGCTCAAGTTTTCAAAAGAATCATAAAGTTGGACAGTTATTATTCAGTCAACTTTTAAGCACATATTTGCTATATTTTATGAAATTTTCCTAATTATAGTGTTTGGTATCACATGATATTAGCTTAAGCAACTAGCATAAATAATGATGTTTGATGTGGCTATACTAAGTGCATGCAGCTAGTGGTGGTTACTATCAAGCATCACTTTCTTACTTGCTGTGTATTGACAAAAAAGGATTGAGTGTGCAACTTAAAGGAATTAAGTCAAAATTGGTGGTCAAACTGTGTTAACTCTCTCTACATGGGGTCAGTCCACAGGACCATTTTTACTATAACTTTTAATACAGTGCACATCTTCACAACATTTGGAAGACTTATTATTTTGTATTTTTTTTAATGAAGTATTTTTACTAAAGATTTGTCTGTGCATATATAGAGTATTTGTTCTGAACAGCCTGTGTGCAAAGTGATTTTCATGTTAAGATTAAAAATACTTTTCTTCATCTCTAAGATCTCAAATTTCATTTGTATATTCTCTAAAACCTCCTAAATACATTTCAAATTAATGTTTTCATTAAAACTTTATATTTTATCTGTTATTTTCTGTACATTAACTTATACAACATTGGTCAATTTGACTGACCTTGTAACCACAAAAGAAAAAAAAAAATTACCCTTTTTTCCTTCCAGAATTACTTCAAATTGTAACAGTATAAATGTATTTATAGTTTAATTTTATTGTTTTATTGCCCTTTGAACCATGTCTAACTACTATTCGTGCCATTATATGTTGTAAATCACTCAGGGAATGTGGATGTCATGTTACGCTATCGCTTTATGTTACTCACGAGCTGCTCGCATCCATGCCTCATGAAATATTTCTATTATATCCTTTTTATTTATTTTACCTAATCTAAATTTAACTAACCTAAAGAAATCCTTATTTTTACATTTTAGTTACTTTTATAATAATAAATAAAGATGAAATAAAGTACCTACTTGAATCTTTTTTTATATTAATGGTAGTAATGCACTAAACAATTTTTAATTAAATAATGCACCAAAGAACATAGACTAATAACATGCAAAAAGTAGACAATTTTCCCTAACTCTCACAATTTTTCTGGCTTTCTAACTATGCAACAAGAGCCATTATAAACTCATCCAAACTAGTCGTTATCTTTCCCACATGAACAAAGCTTGTACTAACAATGAAATTGACAATCCTCC